GCATAAATACTGTTGCATGTCTATTGTATGTTCGAGGTGCCTTTTTTGGTTTCTTAAAACACCACCTAGAGAGCTTTCATGTTCCGTTTGTCCTGGAGATGTACATTGGGAACAAACCTTGAGGCCGTTTCTTCACTTTTCACTGATTTGGCTCTTAGTAATTATCCCTTCTTCTACTAAACAAGAGAAGACAGATTAAATTTCTAACAGTAAGGCACAAAACCAATCCATTTACAGAATTAGTCTTACATTAGCACATAGGAGTACAAATCAGCCTCCCTGGGGATGGATCTATTTGCAATTTCTTTTAGCATTTTTGGAGTAAGTCCAGCAGACTTTGGGAAAATCTAGTATTCGCTGACTTTGAATTAACAAAGTAACATGACCTCTTTGTGGGTTTGTGTGGTGTTTTTTTTGTTTTGCCTTTTTTTTTTTAATCCACCTAATTTAGGGTTGTGGTTCTTGATTTCTAGTGTGCCTGAGGATCCCTGAGGAACAGATGTTTGAGCCCTATCCCCTGGAAATTTGGGGTAACACAATTGGGGGCATTTTTTTAAAACTCCACAGATAGTCTTGATCTATAACACAGGACAAGAGTCACCATAGTGGTAAAGAATCAATATTTGAGCCATTGAAAAATTAAAAGCCAGGTTGTATTTAATCAAAACGGTGTTTTTCCTCACATTTGAAGCCATGTTAATACTTTAATGTCTTGGTTTTCTGTAGCATTATTGGCCAGTCTCACATTGCTTGGGCTATAAAAATAATGGACTAAACATTGTGGTCCTATTGATATTTTTAGTGTGACCAGGTTTCTCTATGTTAATATTTCCAGTGTCTTTAACCTCTTTCCTTCATTCTTGGAATTTCTTTGTTTCTGAAATGTCTACTTGTCTGCCTCCATGTTTTTAAAACCATATAAATCAGAATTGGTTCATGTGGCCTAGAACTTTTCAGATGGCTGTGTGCTTCAGAACAGCCTAGGTGGAAGTCTGAGAGCCCCCTTTAGAGGATAAGGTACTTCTCTGCATACTTGCAGCAGGTGGTATTGTTTACTTCTATTTACGAGCTGTGGGCAGGGCCCAGTGGGAGTGCTCCAGCCCCACTATGAGCGTGTGCGTGCTTATTGGGCTAGCACTTCTGTCCAGCGTGTGGCTCTACATCCCTGCCAAATCCTGGGTACCTATAGAAGAATGACATTTTCAACCACAGGGTCAAACGTGCTCCTAACAATCTTTTATAAGGTGTTTCCCAAGTGATCTGTTACTAATAACAAAGTGAAGTTTGAGTGACTTATTTAACTTTGAATCTAGTTTGTTCTGTCTCTTGGTTTAATAATGTCACTCCAACGTCATTCTACCTCCTTGAGTGGAGGAAAGGGAAGGAGGTTAGCTAGACTCCTGTCTCCAGAGTTGTGCATCAGAGCCTTTGGGAATGTGTTGGGTATAGAACTGTCCTGCATCACATCTACTTCGGGAAATCAGGTTGGATTTTTCATGAAACGGACACTGGGATGGAGCTTTGCCTGCAGGTGGTTTAGCAGGTTGGCCTTCCTAAGAAGCCCTGAATTGAGGCAAGGGGGACAAGCCTTTGTACCTAGGTATTGACTAGTCACTGGATGCAGGCTGCCCTCCAGGAGGGGATGTAACCTTGGACGAGGCAGCTTGTTTGACCAAGGGTAGTGCCTAGGAAGTGCTTGACAGCTGAGCCAGTGAGCCAAGAGCAGGCAGCATCTGAGCATTTGGGATGATGAGTGTCGTGGATCCAGAAGGGGGAATCTGAGTGAGCCACTGCAGCATCTACTATAAGAACCAGTGATCAGATGTCTTGCCAAAGAGATTCCAAGCGTGCAACGTGAAACTTTAGCCTTTGGTTTCCTGACCTTGTGGGTCTACATAGATGTGGACCTTCCTTTATCACATTGGTTTCTTTTTTTCCCTGCCATCCCCCAACCACTGGTAGCAACAGGGAGTCTGGAACTTGATTTGTAATTCTAAGGGCATAATGATTTAAAAGTTTGGCTTTGGGGCGCCTGGGTGGCTCAGTCCTTAAGCGTCTGCCTTCGGCTCAGGTCATGATCCCAGGGTCCTGGGATCGAGCCCCACAAAGGGCTCCCTGCTCGGCGGGAAGCCTGCTTCTCCCTCTCCCACTCCCCCTGCTTGTGTTCCCTCTCTCACTGTCAAATAAAGCTTGGCTTTGTAATGTTGGTGTTTACATAATTCAGTGCTTTGAAACAGTTGTTGTCCCCCAGAACTTAAAAATTCTCAAGACCCATCACAACTGGTACACGAACAGCGTGACCAGTATGGCATTTCAGATCCTTTGTTGGTGTGGGGGCCGTAACACCCCTGACTGGTCATTTGCACCCTGGTGGCTGCCTCCTTTTCCTCCACTGTACACTAGAGCAAATCCTTCTCTAGTTGTTACCATGGTATAGCGTCTTAAAATTGCTGATTCTCTTTGAAAAGTTCTCTCGAAAAAGACCTATGGTGTGGACACTCCCATTGTTCAGACTCCTTAGTGACTTTGCATCCCCTCCCTGCTGTCACCAGCAATCCTCTGCTTGTGGTAGGACAGGGGGAGACAAAACTTTCTGTGTAAACAAGCTGGTAGAGGAGTCACCTGGAATGTGGATCTAATCCACAAATGCTTGTTGAAGGGGGAAAAAAAGGGAGCCAAAGTGCCACTCCAGGAACGAATATAGCCGTATCAATCTGTTATTGTGTGCTTTGCCCTGGTACTTGCCCCATGCCCTTTCCGTGTATTTCATTTTATTCTTGTAACTACCCTATGAGTAGGTACGCTCTCTCTTTTACAGATGAGGAAGCTGAGACCTGGAGGTATTTAGCCTGGTCACATGGCGAGTCAAGTGGCAGAACCAGGATTATCCGTTTGAATCTTTGTTCTGAACCTCCATCCCAGAGGTTGGGGGGGTTAGGATCAAAAAGGCCAGTGGCAGGGTTGTGGCTCTGCTGGGGTAGAGGTACTGGGGTAGAGAGCCACTGTGCTCCAGGATGAGAACAGAGAATCGGCCATCTGAATGGGCAAAAGGGGGAAGGCTCCTGGCACCGCAAGTGTGACTTTTCTACACCAGAATGACTAAAAATAAAGGTGCTATCTCCTGTTTCGTTACAGTAGTGTCCTGTCCAGAAACCAGGTGATAGTTCTAATCAGCTGGGGGCTGATTGAAGAAAGCAGTGCCTGGTGTCTCTAACAGTGTAAAAGCTGGATCTGCGTTCGCTTTGCATGAGTGCAGGCTTTTCTTTGCCTTTATTCTACTTGTATGAGGATAAGGAACATTATTCTCTTGTTTCTCTACCAAGCAGGTAAAGTAGGCTGCTTCACCTCACCATAATCAATCCAAAAGAGAAAGCAGAAGGAAGTCCACGGGTCACAAACGATAGTCTGGTTTTGTGTGTGGCTTTCCTCAGCTGGTGGTGGGTGACACCCCTCTCCCCCGCCTCGGTTGTGTTGAGTCGTCTCAGGTTATATCTGGGCCAAGTGAGAAAGTGCTGCCTCTTTTCCTCCATGAGTGAAGCCAATTAATTGTAAGAGGGGACCCAGCCATTAGACTAAGACTTTCCATTATTTTTTTGGGCAGGGACCCCTTTGCCTTCTGATTACACTTGCAGATTTTTTTTTGTTTTTTCTCTCCCCGCCCCCCGTATGGCCAACATTTCTTTGCCGATTTAACATTCTGTACTGTCTTTGCCCACAGAGAACTGTCAACTCTTGCTCTTTTTCCCTCCAGAGATCCTTTTTGGCTCTCATACTTAGCCTTGCACTGTTTTCGTGAAGTTGAATACATTTCCTTCTTATGCCTTGCATTATCATTTAGCTCTGAGACTCCTAGATGAATGGAAACATGATTTCACAAAAATCTTTACCCTGGAACTTGGTAGGGGCTAAATCAGTGCTCACACTCCCTTAAAAATGCTGAGTCTATTTTCAATTTTCAGACTGCAGCCTTGTGGTATAGGACTATTGTATTTGAGTGGTGAATTAATAATTTGCTTGCAACCTGTAAGTCACAGATGTCAGCCAAAGCTTATTAAAAATGAATTTTATTTAAGGAAGTTCCATTGAGACAAACAGCCCGCTTTCCCTAGCTTTGCAGAAATACATGCAAAAGGGAGCTTTAGCAGGTGGATTTGGGAACAGGCAGAGGGGCACGTATACACACTTGGCTTTCTTTCTGCTTCACACTCCTATTTCTTTGTGCAACCAGGATCGTCATGACAGCCTTATCTCTCAAATAAAGCCCGTTACCTCATCCCTAATTGCTTATCCGAAGGCAGGCGAGCTCTAATTTCTCCACATTAATAAATGACACCGAAGAAGAACAGCTTTGTTTGCACTGGCTCGCTCAGGTTAACCAGTGTAGGCCCCTGAGTGCATTAGGAAACCGTGTGTTTCTCCAGTGGCCAAGGGGAGGTGGTGCTCACCTCCTTTAAGAGCAGCATTTCGTTTGTTTACTTCTTGTTCATCTTCATAGCCCTGTTCTTTTCCTGATGAAACCACTTTAGTGACCTAGGCCAGCATTTTCTCTGGCTGTGGGGGCTCACTGACCTCCCAAGTCAGGTGTAGTAGGAGTTGTCCTGGGGGGACCAGTGGCCCCTCTGATTTCAAGGCTCCCTTTCTTGGCTGCCCACCACTCAACTTTCCTTAGAGGCCACGAGACTTTCTATAGCCTTTGCACTGATTCCTGTGGCATACCCCAGATTGTGAGTTGGCACCCTTGCTTCTCCTTTTGAAGCCTTATGGGAAGTGGTCTTGTGGATTTTCTGAGTGAATGTGAGGAGGGTGGGCTTGTGGCAGTGAGAATTCAGTGGCTCTCAGGTCTGGTGGCTGCCCCATGGGGTAGTGAGAATGTGTGCCTCCCCCAGGGACAACAGCACCTCTGTCCTTTCCACCAAAGAATATCTCTTGCTGTATAAAGGAGCGTTTTCATACCTCCGAATTGTGAACTTATTTCCCTTTCCTTTTTCTCTTCAGAATGAAATGGATGATGTGCCCTTCTTTGATATCCAACTGCCTTATGAACTGGCAATCAATATATTTCAGTATCTGGACAGGAAAGAACTAGGAAGGTGCGCACAGGTAAGCGATTATTAAACTAACGTTCAAGATTTCCTTCTGCTTGTAATGCAAGCCTAGGCAGCTCTTGGGTAACAGAGATTTACTTATCAGAATTGCAACCTTTAAAGAATTAATGAAGTGGATAGCAACTTTCCTTGAGGGAACGCAACCTTGAACTGGAAGGATTGGGTTCCTTATCACTGCTTGGTGTTTATCTTTTTGTGGCTGGCTGTTCAAGAGCTCTGTTCTTCCTGCAGTCTGAGTTATGGTCGACCTGTGGCTGACAACTCTGCTGGCCTTTATAGAGCTAGCCTGAGCTGTTAATGTTCTCACCATTAATGCAAAAATGCCAGCCCTTGGTTAAATCAAGCCAATTGTTAGGTGGAGAGCTGAAGGTCAGCCGGGGGACAAAACAGTGACATCATGTATTAGGCATATCGTCCAAATGACCCTTTAAACACTGGAATTCCACTCCGTGAGGTGTGAGACCTGTGAGAACAGAGACCCCCTGAGGGAAGTGCAGATCTGTGTCCCCCATCTCCTGCTTGTTCTGAGGCATATGCCCATGGGGCGGCATGGTGGCACTTACCGTCCAGGCCACACTTGACTGTGTACATGAATCACAGGAGATCTTGATAAAATGCAAATTCGGACTCAGGAGATCTGGGGTAGGGCCTGATATTCTGCATTTCTAACCAGGTAATACCCTTGTGGCTTTGACCGCACTTTGAGAGGCAAATTAAATTGTCTCTTGTTCACTTCTTTTTGGTGAAGAGTGTAATGGATGAAGTGTATAATTTCTCGTAAGTTGAATGTATGATTGCTGACCACTTGGCTTTCGTGGACAACTGTATTCCCCAGAAGACCCTAGAGTATTCATTGTCTCCAACTCCAAGACTTAATTTGTCTAGTGGCTACCATTTCCTATCCCTGGATTCTAGACTGCATTTTACACATGTGTCTACACCCTTAAAGGAAAGGGATAGGTAAAATGGAGTGGTACCAGAACTGTATACTAAAATTCCGGGGTGTCTGGCTAGCTCAGTCAGAGGAGCATGCAACTCTTGATCTTGGGGTTGCGAGTTTGAGCCCCAGGTTGGGTGTAGATTACTAAAAAAGTAAACTTAATAAAAAATTTTTAAAAATAAAAAATTTTTTAAAATGTGAAGTTAAAAACATTAAGGCAGTTTGAGAGGTGCAAACTGTA